GAATTCTCAGATGAGTTGATGGAGTTGGGTCATGTGTGTGGCCGGTCGGGCCAGGTGGCAGGGGTAAATGGAACGGTTGGCACGGTGGGCCTGGCCAGGGCGCTTCCCCCAGAGACCGTGCTGGGTGCTTCCTGCGTGCACCCTCACACTTGGCAGCACTCGGGGCACCACAGTTCCTTCGGGTGGAGGAATGAAGGAGTGATCTAAGCCCTTTGGTAAAATGCCGTTTGAGTTAATAGCAACAGGAGCGGAAGGTAACAGCAAGCACAAATGGAGACCCATCCTGGCGTCGCGTTTGGAGAGGGCCAGTTACCAAGCCCTAGTGTCCGAGTTCCTTCACCGCGGTTTGGGGGCTCACGGCCTTCAGTTCTGCGTCTGATTGCTTCTCCAACCGCCTTGTTGCTGTGGGAAGCCTGTTCAATACGTTTTATGTTTGCTCTTTGGGTTTGTACTTTAGAGTTTGTCTTAGAATGAATGCAAAGTAGATGGAGCTCGGGCGTTTCTGTTTCTCACCCGCTGCCCATCAGAGCCGGCTGGGAGGAACATGACCAGGGCACTGGAGGGTGTGGGCTCTCCTGGGGCTTCAGCGACAGGGCCATGCTGGTAGGGGTGTCGAACTCAATCAGAGAAGGGGCCAAAATCTAAAATCCAGCCTAAATCGCGGGCCGAATAGTTTACTGAACAGTCATAAACTGTCATTGTGATGGAAACGCAGCGGAGTGCAGTGATGACAGCGCGGTGCGGGCCACATTGCAAGGGCTGGCGGGACGGATTTGGCCCGCGGGCCTTGTGTTTGACACATGTGCTGTATAGGCTCCTTTGTAGACACACTGTGAGACTGGCTTGGCTGAAGGTTTGCTCTTAGTCTTGTTTTCCTGGATTAAATTGAAGAGGTTGGTTTAGTTTCCAGTCCTGGCCGCTGCCCTAGGCTGGAAGGGAGATTGGGGCACAGCTGACTCCTCAAGACTTGAATTCCCTCCCCTGTGTCTCTGTGGACTCCACCCCCACTTTCCGAGTGGGGCGGGGCCTCGGACCGGACTTGTGGTGAAGGTGTGCGCCTGCCATGTGGTGCTGAGGCTCCCGGTTGCTCAGCGTGACGCCCTCCATGTTACCAGAGGCCCAGTGAACCCTCCTCCACCGGGCTTTAGGAGCACGAGGCCCTGAGCGCTAAGGGAGGCAACGGCCTGTACTGCCAAGGTCTGGGGACTCTGGAGAGCACTTAGCAGCCTGGCGCAGCTGACAGAGCCACATGGAGGTGTGCCCCCCATCCTCCGGGCCTCCCCCAGCACATGCCTCTGCCCCTGTGGCCGCATCCTCTGTCTGTGCCAGGGCCCCCTGCACACCCTTCCCCTGACGCCTGCAGCCTGCAAAGCTTTCTGTGGGTGCCATGTAAGCTCTTTGGTCTTTGGTGGTAGGGTTCTTTACTCAGGTGAGCGATGGGAGAGCACAGGAGAGGGGCCTCTGCACGCCGTCAGCCGTCTGCCCAGTGGGTCCACCCGGTCCCTCCCCGCAGGTCCGGGAGGTGTCAGTGTCCTCAGGGAGCCGGAGCCAGGAGGGGCCGGAAGGACCATCGCCACAGCCTGTGGAGCTCCTCCGGGGAGTCGGCATCCTGTTCCCCTAGGAGTGAGGGCTCCCGTTTCACACCGCAGAGCGCTGGCTGCCTCCGGGCTGCTGCGCCAGACGCCAGGCTGATAGGATCTGTGCGTCCGGGGGCCTCTGCCCGCATTCTCCAGGCTGTTTGATCCGGAGCCACTTCTCAGCAGCTCTTTCCAAAGGACCAAGGCCCGGTCTGTCACAGCACAGCCTGCTCTGGGGAGGGCCCGGGACGGCCTGCAGCTCAGTCACCTGGGCCCTGCCCCGGAGGGCAGGGTGCTGGGTCCCCGGGTGCTGGGTCTGCAGTCAGTCACCAGGGCCCCACCCCTGAGGACAGGGTGCTGGGTCTGCAGTCAGTCACCTGGGCCCCACCCCTGAGGACAGGGTGCTGGGTCTGCAGTCAGTCACCTGGGCCCCGCCCCGGAGGGCAGGGTGCTGGGTCCCTGGGTGCTGGGTCTGCAGTCAGTCACCTGGGCTGCCGCCCCTGAGGACAGGGTGCTGGGTCTGCAGTCAGTCACCTGGGCTGCCGCCCCTGAGGACAGGGTGCTGGGTCTGCAGTCAGTCACCTGGGCCCCGCCCCAGAGGGCAGGGTGCTGGGTCTGCAGTCAGTCACCTGGGCCGCCGCCCCGGAGGGCAGGGTGCTGGGTCCCCGGGTGCTGGGTCTGCAGTCAGTCACCTGGGCCGCCGTCCCGGAGGGCAGGGTGCTGGGTCTCCAGGGAAGGGCAGAGCACTCAGGAGGCCAGGGATGTGAGCTCCGGAGTGCTCTTCACTCCCCTCTCCACCCTGAGCCCACGTGCTCCCTCCGTGGAGAGACAGAACCAAGTGCCCGCTCGGTACCTGGTACAGCTGCGTGGAGGAAAGGGCTTAACGCTGAGGCCGACAGCTCCTTCTGCTGCCCTGACCCGTCGCCCCACATCCTCCCGCCTTGCGCAGCTGCACTGCCGAGGAGGTGGGCCCTGCTTGTCCGCCACCGAGCCCTGCGTCATGCCGGCCTGCTGGGTCCCCCTCCCGCCCTCCGTGTGCCCTCGTGGTTGGTGGAATCAGACAATGGACCGAGGTGGTTATCGGAACCTTGGGAAAATCTCAGGAATGCTGCTGAGTTTAGGTGAAGATTTTCTTTCCTGTTGGAACAGGTAAGATATCAGTGGCTGTGCGATCCCATTAAAGCAGCCGCACTGGGTTTTCTCTTTAAGACAAATTACAGCTCGCTGTCCCCACACACCTATAAGGGGCTCTTGGTTGTCCCTGCAAACGCTTGAGGAACCGAGGCACCGGCAGTTCAGTGACTCACCTAGTCACACAATCAGCAAATGGCAACTTAGCATCTCAACCCAGTCCACGTCCGTTCATCTCTAACTGTAAATGCGCGCGATTCACCAGGGACTCTGGGTTGAGAGCAGATGCTGTCCAGCAGACCTGGGCTGGCACCGAGTGGCACCCGCCGCTGGTCCTGGAGTGGCCTGCAGCAGGCGTGAAGCAGTGAAAACCCATGCATGATAATTCAGGAGAGAGGAAGGGCACGGAGCCCCTGAGATGCTCGGGTAGCAGATACAGCACATAAGCCTTCTGGGGATACAAGGTGCCCTCAAGATCAAGTCTCTCAGCCCCGTAGTCCTCTCACTCCCTCCTTTCCTGGGCAGGGTCTGCTTCTGTTCTTTCTGCTTGCCCGTTTTCCACACAGCTGCCTGCCCCAAAGTCCACGATTCTTCTGGCCCAAGGGTCCACAGCAATCACACGTACGCTTTCTTAGTTTAAAGTCTTGAAGGGGGGACTGATTGTTTGTTCTCCCAGTCAGTGAGTGCAGAGGCTGTGGGTGGAGCAAACGAGGCAAGAAGGATGATAGACAAATAGTCTGACATACCTAACACAGTGCGGGACCAGGCACCCCGAGTCCATGCCTGGGCGCCTCCTGGGTGGGGCCGTTAGAGGGGGAGATCGTTTATTCACTCGGCCCCTGCCAGCTGCCAGGCGAGTGCCAGGGACGGGGGTATGCAGGTGGGAGATGGGGGTTTGCAGGTGGCAGATGGGGGTGCAGGTGGGAGGTACGGCTCTGGTGTCAGGATGCAGTTCTGATGGGAGAGGAGTTCTCTCCAGAACAATAGGCTGACTTACAGCAGGCCTGGCCCTCCTCTGAGAACAATTAGAAAAGCTGGCAAAAGCTGCATTTTAGCTTTGCTAATGACATATTTATTCCATAAATACATTTGTATCACATAATTACATATCTCTGTGCACATGTACTTCAGCTATCCTACTTGTTCTCTGAAAGACAACATAGATAGATGATAGAGAGGTGAGATAGGTGATAGATAAGTGATAGATGATAGATGATAGATAGGTCATAGATGATAGATGATCAATGATAGATAGGTGACAGATAGCTGATAGATGATAGAGAGGTGATAGATGGATGATAGGTGATAGATTCTTTTTATTCAGATTCTAGATCTCATCTCCAGAGCTCTTCAGTGTGGTGGCCATGGACCACAGTGCTGTTTAAAGTTGAGGGAAATGAAATGCAGTCACAAATTCCGCTTCTCTGCCAGGTGGACTGTGTGCAGCCCAGGGAGAGCACATCCATCACCTCCGAAAATTCTACTGGACAATATTTTAGTTCCCTGGCTCCTTGCGTTTTTTGGTTAGGTTAATTTTTAGATTTTTATTTATGACTGGAGGCCCAAAACATGAAATTCGTGCAAGAGTAAACCTTTCTTCCCCAGCTGCCTCACCGGCTTCCCTCTGGTACCCGGGACACAGCCCGGCTTCCTCTGGAAAATCATCAGGAAGCACGTCCGGAAGGACGTCTGGTCTAAGTAGCATATTGTGCGTGTATTATCATAGATAGTATTACCACCTGCGTGGGGCTTTCTGTGGCTCAAGACTCTTCAGTATGATGTTCAGATGTAATATTGTAATGCAGCTCCGTTCCCAGCCTGCCCAGAGCAGGCCCAGCGAGGTCAGTGCTGAGAGCAGACAGGGCGACTCAGTCCAACATGAGGTCCTGCCGCTCCGCGGGCGTCCTGCACAGAAGACGGGGCTCCGAGCACGGATCCCCGTCACTGCGTGACCTCGGGCTTCTCTGTCTGGAGATGCCAAATGGTAAAGGCAGTACTGAGTTGGTTCTCGGACCCCCCCATTGAGGAATCTGTTTTCGAGAATATGGGGCAGAGGGGCTTCCACTGAAGTGCATCCCAGGCTTGCTGTTTACTGGCTTTTACACAGACAGCACCGCTCAGTGGTTACATTTGCGTCCTGGCACCTCTCTGTGGCCGGTGTGTCACCATGGTCTGCACAGGCAAAGGTGGCTGGCAAAGGTGCAGGGGCCGTCCAGCCTGGTTTTGGGGTTCAGGGCGGGCTGGGCCAGTAGCTGCTCCACTCACGCTATGCCATGTCGTTTTGTCTTGCAGTGATTCCCCTCAAAGCTGCTGAGGATGCATCCTTTGGGAAGACGGGGACGTGGGCGTTTTTTGCAGGTAAAGCTTGCGTTCTGTTTTATTATCTGATCTACCTCACCTTGAGGTGCCAGGGGAGGGACAGAGCAGGAAGAAAGGACCCTGCCTTCTTAGATTTGCCACAATATCAAGTTGTTTCCTTGCCCTAAACTCACGCAGAGCAGGAGGGGGATTCCTGGTGGTGCCCAAGGGGTTAGAAAACAGAGGTGAACGCTCCATCTGCATCCTTTGGGGCTTTGCTTTGCTCCAGAATTCCTCGCTCATGTGCTCTCAGGGAGGGACCTTGAGTGACACAAAAATGGCCAGTGCGTCCGCTGTGACTGTTCCTCCTCAGGTTCACAGGGAGTCTGGGATTCGGGAAACAGCTTGAAATCTTGAGCAAGTGTGAAAAGTGACCCCTGCCACCCATCTGGATGGCAGGGGTCGCTGGAAGCACTGGTGCTTGTGCCCGGCTGGCAGAGGTTCTGACGCGTGAGAAGGCTGGGAAGCCCGGATGCTGCCCGCACAGCAGTGGCTCCCCGGCTGGCCTCCCCTCACCGCACACAGACCAGGGCTTGGGGAGCCCTCACGGGTGCTCTGGGGTGGGCACTGCCCTCGCTCGCAGAGCCAGAAACTCGGGCGGTTCCGAGGCGGCTTCCCCCGGAGCCCGGGAGAGGAGCTCAGCAGGAGGCAGCTTGGCCTCCCAGGGACAGTGGCCAACAGGTGGGTATAGTTTTGGTTGCCACCGCTAGCATTTTGGTACTACTGGCATCTCTTAGGTAGAGGCCAAGGACTATAGTGCACAGGCTGGCTTCCTGCAGCAAAGATTTTCTGGTCCCCGATGCCACATCTGCCATGGCCAAGGCACCTGGCCTCGCAGGAAGGGGCCACGGAGATGACCACAGAGTGGAGGACGTGGACCGTAAACACCAGCTCCCAGGCAGGCTCTGGTCAGCACTGAACCGAGTCCCACTAAGAGGCGATGGGGACGTGGTGCGGGGCCACCTCCAGGGCGGGCGGGCAGGCAGGCGGGGCGGGTGAGAGTGACCGTGCCACAAGGATCCCGGGAGATTGTGCTTTGGGGCTGCACTATCCCCTCAGGTCACTCCTCGGAGTGATGGGAGCAGAGCTTGCCTAGGGGACAGCAGTGGGAGCTAGATAAAAGCAGCTAGATAAAAGCAGAGGCCGGTGTTTCACTCTCTTCCTCTTCCTAAAGCATTTTTTCTTTTGGGAAAACGCAGCCATACTTATGAATCATAAGGCGTCACTCAGGTAGGCCACTGGGGCTTACTGTTGCCTCCCGAAGTCACAGACACTATTTCTCTGATGGCACTTCCCTCCAACAGTGACCCTTTGTCCCCCGCTTTGCTTCTGCATGCTTTGCAGCGGCCTTTGTCTTTATTTACGACCTCTCGCCAAATAATCGCCAGTTTCCTCCCTTGGCCTTTCCCTCAGTGAACGTCTGCTCATTAGTAAACATGAGAGCGACTTGACTCCTAGCGGCAGGAAAAGCAGTGGACTTTCGCCCATGCCTCCGTGGCCAGGACTGGGATCGGGGGACCGGGAGGCCCTGAGGCGGGTGGATGGCCGCGGAGAAAGACGGAGCCCTCTCCACCACCAGGGGGTCTGGGAGTAGTAACGCAGACTCCACGCTCCAGGGAAACCCTGATGATTACAGTTAGGGAGGATGGAAGAATGTGAGTGCATCAGGAGAGACGATGAGCTTGGGAGGATTGTAGCCTTTGGTCCCCACAGCCCTGCAGCTCGCTCGGCAGCTCTGAGGCACTCAGTAGGAGGAACACTTTGCAGTTCGTGTGTGGCCACAGAGCGTCAGGGCAACTCTCTGCTTAGCTCTCCGCAGTGCGGGCAGCTCAACGTGCCCTCTCTTCCCGGCTGGAAAAGGAGCCTGGCCTTCCCACCCCGAGGAGTGCCCCGGCCTTCCCACCCCGGCGGCTGTTTCCATGGCACCCTTTCCCCAGGATTCTGGCAGCCATTCCTCTGGGCTTTGCTTTTCTAACCCAAGCGCTGCGTTGGCGAGGTCAGGGGTACAGTGGCAGCTCCCTGGCCCTCGATCCCAGGCCTTCGCCCTTTTGTTCCTGGCTGGGAGAGCTGCAGTGGGGCTGCCGGCGGCCATCCATCCTCCGGGGGTTGGCTGGGCCCGGCTGTGCCCCCACGGCACAAGAAGGCATTGTCAGCCTCTCAGGAGACGCCGTTGCTCAGATTTCACAGGCAGGGTAAACAATGGCGGTGCGCACAGCTTCCTCCACGGGGCTGCCATCTCCCAGGCCTGGCGCTGGCTCTGGAAGTGAGAGGACCAGCATCGAATTTCCAGCTTCGGTGGATCGGGCGAGTTGGGTTCCCTGCCTGAGCTGAGGGGTGCTGGTCTCGCCAGGTTTAAAGCAGCTCTGCGTACCCAGGTCATCGTGGGGCTGCCCAGCAACAGGTGCTGCCTGCCATCCGGGGCCACGCTGCGGGCCTGTGTGGCCTGCTTCCCGGGAGGGCGGGAGAGGTGTGCAGCCCTGCGCACCGTTTCAGCCTCCCTGCGGGGCGACCCTCTCTCCCGCCTGCTCGCCTGCCATCTGCTTTAGGGAGGCCTGGGCGGGGGGCCTCGTCTTCATGGTGGCTGGCAATTGAGCCTAAACATAGCATTGGTGCAAGTGCAGATGAATTTGGGGATGTGACAAGGTTTTGGGGATTATTTGAACATGCAGATAAGTGGGGTATCTTGAAAGCAAGTCCCAGATTTAGTGGAGCCACAGACGGTTTGTTTGTCTGGAGCTGAAGGCTGGGGTTCCGTCTGGACCAGCATTGTTTGGCCTGGCCTGCTCTAAAGCCTCGGAGCGGCATCCTAACTGGGTAGGCCTTTACATCGGGGTTGAAGGAGTGGGGCTGGCAGGCTGGCCTGAGCGCGCTGCCAGGGACCCAGCGGCCTGCCTGCCCGGCCACAGCTTCGCTCCAGGGTCCCTGGATCCTGAGGCGTCTGTGGCTTTGGCTCCCAGGCTCCCAGGCTCAGGGCTGGACCTTGGTTCTCGTAGTCTTTGTAGGAATCTCTTTCACGTCCCACGTGGAAAGGGTTCCAATTTAGGAGAGACTTGAAGAAATTCAATTTGGCGATGTGGGGGGCCAGGCAGTAGTCCAGCTCTAGTGAGAGAACTCCTGCTCTGGCCCTGCCATCCCTTTTATGGAGGCTCTGGGGAAAACATCTTAGACAACATAAACAGAAATCTACACGTAGCCCTCAGGCAGGAAATATCAGAAACTTACACGGGACAAACGAGATGGAGGCTGATTCAGCTAACAATGCCTCAACTGAAGGGTGAGTGGTCAGAGCAATGAAGGTTGTTGACCAGCCTGCCTGGCTTCCTGTCAACATCTCTCTTTTAGTGAAACTGATTTGGCTCCGGCAGTCTTTCTGCAGCAAGAGGAACGCTTGGGACGGAGGAAAACGTGAGGCCCTGGGGGTGACGGTTGCTGCCCAGCCTGGGGAAGCTCAGTGCTCTGGCGGCTCTCCTCCGGAGGCTGCACGTTTTTGGTTTTTTTTTTGTTTGTTTTTTTTAAATATATTTTATTGATTTTTACAGAGAGGAAGGAAGAGAGATAGAGAGTCAGAAACGTCCGTGAGAGAGAAACATCGACCAGCCGCCTCCTGCACATCCCCCACCGGGGATGTGCCCGCAGCCAATGTACATGCCCTTGACCGGAATTGAACCCGGGACCTTTCAGTCCGCAGACCGACGCTCTACCACTGAGCCAAGCCGGTTTCGGCGAGGCCGCACGTTTTAAGGTGCGCACAGCTTCAGGGCTCACTGGAGCCCGTGATGCCGCACGCGGCGGCTGCTGCCTGCTGGCCGGAGGGCCTGAGTGCTTGGTGGTAGCGGAGCCTTCCAGGCGGGCCAGATGTTTATGAACTGTGCCCGCGGCTGCCTGTGGAGGGCCCCCCTTATCTGAAACCCGGACATGGGCCCTTGGAGCCCCTGGCCTCCTGCCCGGGCGAGTGGCCTCAGACGTCTGCAGCGTGCGCTGGGGACACTGTGGCAGCGTCTCACCCTGGCCTTGTCCTTCCGAGGTTTCTGCAGTCCCAGGACCAAGCGCAGAGTTCAGATGCAGAGGCTGGCTGTGCGTCACGGTGCCTGCTCCAGCGGCACACAGTAGGACAGCTTCTCTCCACCCAAGGATGACACCGAGGCCACGTTTTCCTTGCCTTTGGTCCAGGGGCCACCTCTCCAGAATCCCTGTGAGACAGATGTGTCCACCTGGCCCACATCTGTCTGCCGGGCACTGGGCCCTCACTGTTCCCATCCCTTTGTCCCAGGCTCGGCTCTGCAGCCTGTTCCCGGCGAGTCTGCTCCATGGCAGAGAGTCCTGGACTGCGCCCTGGCCAGTGTGGCTCTGTTGGGCATACTAGAGGCAACTGATCTATGTTTCTCTCGATGTCTTCCTCCCTCCCTCCGTCTCTCCCTCCCTCCCTCCCTCCCTTTTTCTCCCTCCCTTCTTCCTTCTCTAAAACCCAGAGTGAGGATTAACAACCCAGAACCAGCCAGGACTGTGACATGACCGTGCACTCTGGCCCTCTGCATCCTGTCCAGCTTCCTGCGGGGCCTCTTTCTGTCCCTCTGGGCCTCATTATTTTAAATGGAGGCCACGCCTCCCTCCCCATGGCCGTTCCATATACACCCCCCCCCCCCCCCCCGTGTTAACCACAGAGCCGCCCATCGGAGCACAGGCATGGCTATGGGAAACTGCTTTAGTTTTGGTCCCAGGAGGGAGTTTTCTCTGTTTTGTCTCAAACTCCTCACGTACCCTGAACTCCTGACCCCGGTGGCCTGCCCTGCGCCCCCGTCCCCTGCACGGTGTCGCGGGACCCGGGGCTGGTGGGTCTGAGTGGATTCCTGTGCGGAAAAAGAACCAGCATGTTCTCCTGCGCACCCAGTGCTCTGAGGAGTCTGTGGCCGAGGGAGCTCTCAACAGCCCCCGCCGCCCCCCCCAACCCCCCCGCCTTCCCCCCGCCCCCTCCCTGCTTTTTCTGGAGATGCTGCCTGTGCCGCTGCCCCTGCTTTCTGAGGTGTCCGCAGCTCCCTTCACCTGCCACCTTGCTGCTGGGCTTGAGCTGGTGGCCAGGCCCTAGCTCCCGGGAGCTGCTCCTGCAGGCACTATGGGCTCCTGGCCGACCAGACAGGCACTGGGCTTCCCTGGGGCCGGCTGCCAGGCAGAGCCGAGAGGAAGCCGGGAGTCTGAGTCCATCCGATTCTCCTGCCATCTGTGGCATTGACCATGAGCCTCACTGGCCCCCAGGCCAGCCCAGCACGCTTGCCTTTTCAGGGCAAGCCCTTCCCTGACGACTCCTGGCTCCAAGGCTTTCCAAGGCGAACTTCTGTTGACTAAGCATTTTATCTTCCAGGAACTTAATCTGAAGAGCATAATGTGTGTGTGTGTGTGAGAGAGAGAGAGAGAGAGAGAGAGAGAGAGAGAGAGAGAGAGATGTATTATAATTTATGCTTATAAATGTCCATCATAGAATTATTTACTTTAAAGAACTGTCAGAAACACTTTTAGTAGCCAATAATAAGGTATCAAGTCACGTATGAGAAATTTTAATCAAAATTTAAAAGCAGTTTAGAATCATTTTTTTAAAATATGTTTTTTATTGATTTTAAGGAGAAGGGAAGGGGAGTGAGAGAGAGAGAAACGTGGATGTGAGAGAGAAACATCAGTTAGTTGCCTCCTGCATGTCTCCCAACTGGAGATGGAGCCCAGGCATGTGCCCCAACTTGGAATCAAACCGGTGACCGTTTGTTTTGTGGGATGATGCTCAACCACCTGAGCCACTCTGGCTAGGCCAGAATCGTTTTTTGAAGAGAGCTTAAAGAGAAAGTGAGAATAAACAAAATGCAAGGTATGAAGCGACGCAATCTTAGCTCACACATGTGCACATATGCCTCAGGAAGTGTTGGCATGCAAGCAGTGCTCTCAGGGTGAGGGAGACTGAGCACTTGGTTTCTCTCTCTCCATACATGAGTTTATTTCCTCTACGTAGTTTTGCATTCTCTTTGTCATGTCAGAGACGACGCAGAGCAGAGTCCCCGTCCTCTGGCCCGCCGCCTCTGCTGGCCTGGTCCTGGCACTCAGTCCTCCTGTGGCAGGTGCCACGCAGCCTTCGGGCTCAGGGAGAGCGCCTGCATGCTCCTGGTTACAGTCCGAGCACCCAGGAGTGTGCTGAGCATGGCCCGTGGCGTCTGTCTGTCCTAGAGAAATTTAAGTCAGCAGAGGGACATTGCTGCTAAGTTTAAACGTTTCCCAGAGCCAGCCATCTGCAGCATTTTGCTGCAGAGCAGATTATAATAAAGCTTTAGGCTTCCTCCTCCCTTTCTGAGCACGTGATCTGTCAGACTGGTGCTGAAGTTGGTTACTGGACTTTAAGAAATGGTCGCGTTTTCATGTGGCAATCCCACCCCCTCAGGGGGATGGTGTTAGGAGGAGAACCGTGCGGTGGTGAGGCCGTGGGAATGGAGGCCCACGTGGGACATTAGGCACCTGTCAGGGGCGGCCCCTGAGGCCTGCCTGCTGCTCGGCCCCCGTGGGAGGAAGGAGAGGATGCTTCTCACCAGGAGGAGGGCTCTCCCTGACACCAGAGCCCCCAGCACCTTCATCTTCTAGAAATAAATGTGTGTTGTTTAGCCCACCCAGTATATCTCGTTATAGTAGCCCAAACTGGCCAAGACAAGTATGAACATGGTTTAACTATTTTAACTTAACCTTTATTTTTGAGAAAATTGTAGATTAGCCTGTATTTCTCAGAAGTAATACAGAGATAGATTCTTGGTACTGGTTTTTACTCTTTGCCTAATTTCTCTCCATGGTGACATTTGAAAAACTCTAGTGCAAGATCGCCGCCAAGATGCTGACACGGATGCCGCCAGGAGGCGACCATTCCGTCACTACCAGGGTCCCTTATAGCCAAGCCCGTTTCCCGCTGACTCCCTCCGTAACCACTGGCAACCCTCCCCTGCTCTCTCTTTCTGTAGAGCTATCATCTCAAGATGGTATGCAAAGTAAACATCACGCAAAATAGAATTTCACGTCTGTAACCTTTTTGGGTATTTTCAGGCAGCGCAGACCGCTGGAGGCTCCTCCCGGTTGGTGTGCTCAGTATCTGCTCCCCTTGCTGCCAGGCGTGCCCACACTGGGGAGCTCAGCTGCCCCCGGGCCCGGCAGCGCGTCTGCACTGTCCTCAGCCTGGCTGTGGTCTGCAGAGCTGCTGTGGACAGACGTGCGCGTTTCTGGGTGAACTGTGGTCTCCACCTCTCGCTGATGCAGGCGGAAGCTAGCTGTGCCTTGTAAGAGACTGCACTGTACCGCGTCCCAGTCTCACCAGCCGAGTCTGACCGGCCCGCTCTGTCCTGGCCGCATTGGTGTTGCCGCTGCCCGTGTTGTAGCGGAGGTGCTAGGTGTGGCTGGCTGGCTGTGCCGTGCCTGCGCATCTTCCCAGTGGCTGTGGACGGAGAGCGTCTGCTGTGTGCTTGTTTTGTTTGTGCTTATTTGCCACCTGCATGTTCTTTTTGGTTGAATGTCTACGTTTCTGTCCATTTTCGAATAGGGTTGTTTATTTTTTACTGTTGAGTTTTGAGAGTTCTTTATATTCTAGACACTAGTTAGTCCTTTGCTCAATTTGTGGTTTGCAAGCGGTTTCTCCCAGTCTGTGGCTTGTCTTTTCATCCTATTCATGTGGGTGTTGACAGAGCAAAGAGTGTTATGATAGTTTGCTTACAACAAATGTGCTAACTTTTCCTTCTAGGGATGGCCCTTTTGGTGTCAAGCCTCCAAAGGCTTTGTTACTCCTAGATCCCACAGGTTTTTCTCCTGCCTTTTTCTGAACGCTTTCCAGTTTCTATTTTACGTCTGGGGTTGTGGTTCAGTGTGACGTGAGGCCTGTTTGCTGGGTCCCCGCGGTGACGCTGTGCTTCCCCACAGATCTGTACGTGTGCGCCGTGCTGCTGTGCTGCGTGGGCATCCTCAGCGTGCTGCTCTTCACCCTGGCCATCGCCTGGCAGTCTGTGCTCAGCAAGAGGAAACCCAGAGGTAAGAGACTGCAGGTCTGGGATGGGAGCACTAGCTCAGTGGGCACAAAAAGTGCGGGCTGAGCCACCCGGGCTGAAAAAGGCGTCCTGAGGCAGGAATCACTTCCGAGACAGGCTGCCTCCTGAAGGGAATGGGCTGGCTCCTGCCGTGGCACGGGAAGAACCACGGCTGGACAAAGGGGAGGGCTGGCAGGAAGGTGCATCCCGGCTGCGGGGCTCCTGTCTGTGCTGCCGCTGAGGAGGCTGGGAATGCGAACGCCAGGGCTTGGCAGGCTGCCAGGTGCTCCCACGAGTGCAGGGTCACCCGCAGCCTCATCTAGGGTCACTGCGGGGCCTGGGAGTCTGCAGAGGGTGCAGCGGGTTGGAAGAGATGGTATGGGAAAGTCAGCCACCAGGGTAGGCCCCAACAGGGCTCCAAGATAGGATGGGAGTCTGATAGGATGGGAGTCTGATAGGATGGGAGTCTGATAGGATGGTTGTCTGATAGGATGGGAGTCTGATAGGATGGGAGGCTGATAGGATGGGAGTCTGATAGGATGGGAGTCTGATAGGATGGGAATCTGATAGGATGGGAATCTGATAGGATGGTTGTCTGATAGGATGGGAGGTCTGATAGGATGGGAGTCTGATAGGATGGAAATCGTCCCTGGGGCGTGCGTGGTGAGGTCAGGGACAGCCCGGTGGGGATGAGAAAGCCTGGGGCCTGGCTCGTCACTCGGGAGAGGTGGCCATGAGGTGGGGCTGGGAGCAGTGCGGCCACCGCAGAGAAAGGGCGCCAGGCCTGGTGCTCACGGCCATCTCCGGGCCAGGAGGTGAGAAGAACAGCCCTTCCTTCAGAGTCCTTCCTCCACGTCTGAGGCACACGGGATGGACTGCGCCTGCACCTTCCTTTCCGTGCGGAGCAGAGGCCTTTCTGGGTGCGGGCCTCGGGGTCCAGTGTGTGAGGCCAGATGGCAGGGTGTCGCCCTCCGGGATCTCCCCGAACGCGGGTCTCTGCCGGGTCTCTCTCCTCCCCAGGGCCTTCCCAGGACCCCCTCCCACAGAGAGTTTGCACTGGGATCTGTCTGCAGGCTCTGCTTCTGGGAGCCCAGGCTCAGACAGCTCCCTCAGGGGCGCAGCCGGCACTAAGTGTGCTTTGCTCCCCTAGGCCAGGTGGGTGAGGGCTAGCCCTCAGACCCTGAGGTCCCGCCTTTGGGTTCTGGGTCACATTTGGCCCCTGGGGCAGCTTTTTTGGTTAAAGGGACACAGGCCCCCATTCACCTGGGTGCAGCCTCATAAACAAGTGCGGGAGGTCCGTGCTCAGGGAGCCCTCTGCCCCCTGCTCCCTGGCTCCCTGGGCTCCAGGCTGCTCACCTCGCTGCTGCTGCTGCAGCTGGAGTGGACTCCCCAGACACAGGCCAGCCAGTGCGGCCAATGGCAGCATTTATCGTGTGACTCAGTTTCTTCACCTGCAGGAGCCCTGCCTCCCGATGCCCGGACTCAGAGCAGTGCAGAGGAGTTACAAGACGCTCTGCCCTCCCGCGGGCTGTGCTCAGCTGCCAGTGCAGAGCTGTGGGCGGCCGCCTGCCTTCCCCTGTGGCCTGGCCGCTGTGCGCCTTTCTTCCCTCCTCACCAGTTTGGTGGGTGGGGGCCCGTCCGCGTGACCTCTTTTGAACTTAATCACACTTTTAAAGGCCCTCATAGTTCTGAGGTACAAATTATGCAGGCGCATAGCTTAGCCCCTAACGTCTCAAGTCAGCTGAGATGACTTGCATCTGTTCCATGTGGTGTCTTCTCCCAGTGGGCTAGCTAGGCTTCTGCATGTGGAAGCAGAAGAATTCCTCAGAGGGATGGAGGAGTGAGGGAGGAAGAAAGGACAAAGAGGAGGAGGAGGACAGAGGGCAGGGGAGGACGGGAAGAGGGGGTAAGGGGAGGAGAAAGGAGAGGAGAGCAAGTGAGCAAGGTCTTGGGCGAGGCCGTTAACCGCTCTGTGCCTCAGTCCTGCTGAACACAGATGTGATGACAGCGTCACTGTGGAGATGGGAGAACAGAGGGTGGTCCCAAACACTCTGCTCACATCATTCCCAAATCATTTCAACTATGCAACCCTCAAATGTGCTTTGTTGACAAATATAAATTGTTGCAAAGGATGTAATTCCCACAGCATCACAAATATTGACATTTAAAATGAAATGGTTAAATCTCTGTTACAGCTACATGCCAGAATTTAGTAACTACCTCTGCCGACTTAAAAAGGCTCATAAATAAGTTTTAGCTTTCAGGAATTTTATGTGTCTTCCCCTCCCCCCCAGGGTTTTCTTTTCAATCACTTACCCAACAAAACTTTATCCTGCTTTTTAGTACATTATTGTTTTGAAAATCATTTATTGATTTCCATATTATACTTCGATAAAATAATATGTATAAAAATTAAAATTAAAAGTTTAATTTCCTTATTCCATAACTCTCTAGGTTTTATTTTTTTTCTGGATTAAGTTATCAATATTGCACAATTAGTAATATTTGGAAAATGACTAAAATTAATCAAAACCACATAAATACAAAATTTAGATAAATAATTAATAATCACAAGAAGTAAAACTTTATTAGAAATGGATTTTATTGAAATGGATTTTTACTTTACTTCACATGCCCTTGTATAAATTTGGTTAGTGATAGACTTTAGTATCAATTTTAGTCTTGTTTTTAATGGCTGTAAGCTCTGAAATGCCGTGCTCAATAGGCACAGAGGCTGAGATGGACCAAGTTTTCTGATACCACTCAATACTCTAAACTGCTTCCCAGTTATAAGTCAAAGTCATATAGTAATTTATCATCGAAAATGACTTAATACTCCACCAGCTGATTCCTGGCTTAGGTCATCATTCAGTCTTTGTTGAAAGCAAAATATTGGAAACCTTCAGTGGCCCCGTCATTTGTCATTCACCTTCTCCACACTGGCATCAATATTTCAAATCATCTCTTGTTCGGTGCCCACTGGTCTCTGCCCCCAGGACAGGCCTTCATAGCACAAGTCAGGGCGGGTGAGGGTGGCCTAGATTTTCTGAAGTAGAAAGGGTGATGTGACAGGGAGGGAGGAAATGAGTACAGTCTGATCTCAGGTGTTTTAGGAGGAAGAATTCTTAGGAAAGAATATCATAGAAGGTGAGAATCTAGAAATAGATTTCCCTAAAACCATGCTTCCTAAGATGCTGAGGACATGCAAACCCCAGGGTATGCAAGCCACTGATCTACATAATAAGCTTGGAACAGTGCCAGGAGTTCATGTTGTGTCCCTTACATGCTAACTATGACTTCATTACTTCTTTATCTATACAGTAACTGGAATGCAGAGAGAGTCTAGCTGTTGCAGAGGCCGGGCCCGATTGGCCTAAAGGGGCCCCTCTAAAGCTGGTCCCATCGTCTTGGTCTGGAACCTGAACTGGTCACCTGCTTGACAGATACTCCAAACGTGCAGGTTCAAACAGCCTTTTATTTGCTCACAATACTGCAGGCCAGCATTTTTAAAGGCCCTGCCTTCAAATACAGATTCCTTCTGAGGCACGAATTATGTGGGCTTCAGCTTTACCTCTGTTTGGGCTGGGGCTCAGCTGAGCACCATGGTATCAGCAGCTGAAGTCCTGCTTTGGGGCCTCAGCTGAGGTAACTTGCATCTGTTCCATGTGGTATCAACTTCCAGTGGGCTAGCTAGGCTTCCTCATGTGGAAGCAGAAGAATTCCTTAGAAGGATGGAGGAGGGAGGGGGGGAGGTCAAAGAGGAGGAGGAGGAGGACTGAAGGGGGAAGGGAAGGAGAGGAGGAAGGGAAGGAAGGGAGAAGGGGAAAGAGGGGGAGAGCAAGTGAGCATGCATGTGCAAACCTCTTTTAGGTCTCTGCTTGGCTACTATTTCATTGGCCAAAGCATGCCTTGTGGCCAAGCCATATAGGTGTGGATAGATACAGGGAGGTGTGATCATGGGGCCGTTGGTGCCACCACACAACCCCAGGGCCTGTGGCTGCCTCAGCTTTACTTCTATTTGATGTGAACCCAACTGTGAGCTTAGATTGGACACTTGTTAGGATAACTGCCTAGGCGTTCTTATTTCTCCTCTACAGCCAGAATCTTGCTTTTCTCAAGAAGACCTACTTCGTAGAATATCTTGCTCTAAGACTCTTTCCATGGGTATGCTGTTAGCCCTGGAAAAGCACTGATGGGAGAATAGAAACCACTTTATAGAGAGGAGAGTCTACATGGAAACAGGTGGCCCCGAAAAGGCCTTTTCATCATTGAGGCAGAGCTTAGACATTGGGTGGTGCTGTTACTCCTGGGGCCTTCAGGTTAGAACCAGACTCAACCAGCAAAAGAACTGAATGCTTTGGGTTGAGTAATCAGGGAGTCTGCAGTGTATGGCTTCCTGTCTGGCTTGATCCGGGTGTGGAACAGTATCACGTGACTGGTGTCATGTTCTGCCTCCACTGTACTCATCCGAAGAGAAGTGTGAAAGCCTGAGAGGTGGCCTGAACCAACGCCTGGTCAACACCTGAGCACCTACGTCTTCTAATTCCTGGAGTATATATGTATTGTATATCTAAAGTAGCATTTACTTACCATTTTTTACTTATTTTTCCTTTCACAGTGAGAAAATATTTGGTGAAATGCCCTCAGAACAGGTAAGAATATTTTTGCTTTTACTTTCTCTAGATATTACCAAGAAATTGGTTGCATTTGTATCTTTACTTAAAGGTCTTCATATTAACCTACAAATTGGCCTAAAAATGTGTGTCCCACATGCATTTGCATATTTCCAGACTCCATGCTCTGTTGTCACCCCCAGAGGATCCAGAAAACAGGTGGTTTCATGCTGCCCAGCACCTACTCTGGAGGATGGTCCCTCATTTAGAAAGAGGCTGGGAACTAGACTGACCCACTTTGATGCCTTCTGACCATAATCACTCCTAATCTTTTCCCAATAATGCTTGCTTGTTGTATGCCTCATTCTTTAGAACATAGACATCCTATATGATAAAAGGGTAATATATAACTTGACCCTAACAGCAGAATGACCAGAACAACTGCTGGACCAGTCACTATGAGGTGCATTGACCACCTCTTGGTTCCTTTCTCTGCTGGGCAGGCTCTGATTGCCTGGTGGCCATCTGCGGCAGGGGTGGGGCCATCGAGCGGGTGGGAACAACCAACCTCTCGGTCTCTTCTCCCCCACCATTAGGCACCGATCACCCGATGGCGAATTGGGAACTGGGGGTGGGTGATGACGGGGGATGGGGCCAGCTGTGGGCACCTGAGGAAGATGGCCCTGATCGCAGGTCAGGCCTTGGGACTATACCATGTGCAGGGCCTCTAGTTAGTAATATATGTGCTAAAATGCTAGCTTTAGCTGGTTGGACAAACCTCATAGGTAACCTAATAGTTATAGTAAATATTGCAAACTTATAGTGTTTAAAAATGTGAGACTTTTGATCCAGGCAAAATGGCATAGGTCAATTTGTCCCTGTTCTTCCCTGCTAAGCATAAACATAAATCTTGCAAATAATATGAGACACCAAAGGAGGACTCTGAAAGTTGGTTAAAGGAAAACTATGAAAACCAAAGACAAAGGAAAAAAAATCTTAAAAGCAATCAGAGAGAAATAATGTATTACCTATTAAAGGAGCACAAATTTGAATGACAGCAAATTTTTCATCTGAATTCATAGAGGACAGAAAGAAATAGAACCACTTTTTTCAAAAAAAATTTTTCTTAAACTACTGTTAATCACAAATTTGATATCCAGCAAAATTATCCTTTAGGTAAAAGGGGAAATAAGGGCATTTTCAGATTAAGGGAAACTTAAGAAATCTGTCACTATCAACTTACTTTTAAAGAAATTCTTGAAATAAAAGAGAAAATCTTGGTGCATTAGAAAGGAAAAAAGGAATAATGGAACATAAATATGGGTAGTTAAGTAGACTAATTTTTCCTCAGAAGTTTTAAAAATAATATTTGATGATTAAAACAAAAATTATAAAGCCATCTGATACTCAAGAAGAGCATTATGATATTTAAAAGTGGGAAAGGTCAAGTGACCTAAATAGAATAATGTTTCTATACTTCACTGAAAGTGATAGAACATTGGTATAAGGAGACTTCAATATCCCACTCCTTCATCAAGGTAAGTCTGAAAGAGAACATCAGAGTAGCTGTCCCTAGTCCTGATGTGATCCCCATTGAACCCTGAGATAAAGAAAGCCATCCCAGAAGCCAGCACCAGAGGGCAGAGGGCGAGCCTCCTTCTCTCGTAGTGTTCCTGCTGCTCTGTCCTCATCCCTGGCCTTGCACTGCCTTTCCCCCTAGGGTGCTCTTTGTTCCCATGAGCTGGAGTTAACAACACCATGTGTTGCATGGTCACAGTTGGGGCAAGCAAGTTTCTGGATGAAGCAACATGCATGTGCATTAAATGGAGAGTATCCCAAGGATGGAAGTATTATAGATAGACAATGCAAACAGTAATAATAAGAGAGGTTATAGCTAAATTAATTTAAGATAGTAAATAATTTAAGACAAGAAATGTTACAAGAGACAAAATTTCATAATTACAATGGGTCTAAACATAAGGAAGATATAGTCATTATAAATCTACTAGTGGCCTGGTACATGAAATTTGTACACATTAAAAGAGGATTAATTAGAGGTAATATTTTAAATATATATTTTTTATTGATTTTTTTTTACAGAGAGGAAGGGAGAGGGATAGAGAGTTAGAAACATCCATGAGAGAGAAACATCGATCAGTTGCCTTCTGCACATCCCCTACTGGGGCTGTGCCCGCAACCAAGGTACATGTCCTTGACTGGAATTGAACCTGGGACCCTTCAGTCCACAGGCTGATCGATTCTCTAGCCACTGAGCCAAACCAGTCAGGCAAGAGATAATATTTTAATATTGCTATTTGCCCTTTGTCTATAATAAAAGTGTCAGAGATGAAAGAAAATTAGTAAAATGTGTATGAAAATCTCCCTTCTGTCAGAGTATGGGGGGCACTGTGGGCCCCAGAGTCAAGTCCTTGCCCACCTACAGTGCCTCAAAATTGCAGGAGTCTCAGACCCAGGCAGCCCCACCCACATTGGGTTGGATCCAGACCCAGTCAGCTCCACTTTTGTCAAGCCCCACCAGATGGGGGTCACAGCTTCAGAGCCCCTGTCAAGCCCCACTGGTGGGAGGCACAGCCTCAGGTCCCCCAATGCTGGGGTACGGGGAACAGCCTCAGGTCCCCTGGCCTAGGGCAGGGGGGACAGCCTGTGGCCCCTCATCAATCCCTGCCAGGCAGGGGATGTGGCCTGAGGTCCCCTGTCAAGCCCTGCCAGGCAGGGGGTGCAGCCTCAGGTCCCTGCTGATTGCTCATTAAAGTTTGTTATGGGAACTCGGCCTCCGCTGTTGTCGTCGCCATCTTGTGTTACGGAAACCCCACCTCTACTGTGGGTGCAGCAATCTTGTGTTATAGAAACCCTGCTTCCATTGTGGTCACCACCATCTTTGTGATGGTGTGACAGTCAATTTGCATATTTCATCTTTACTAGATAGGATATGGATCTAAAGAAGAGCCTCAGATACATGAAGCAAACACAGACATTTGAAAGATAAAGTAGATGATCTAGAATAATAGTTGATTTTATTGTTCCATTCTTAATAATTGATAGAATAGCTAGACAGAAAATCAATAAGGGCACAGAAGATCAAGCAATTTGACCCCACACATAAGAATGCTCTACCCTGTGACAACAGGATTATTATTTTCAAGTGTCCTTGGAACATTCTTCAGAATATGCCAAATGCTAGGCCATTAAACAAAAATTAAGAATTCTTAAGAAAGAATACCATGGAAGGTGAGGGTCTAGAAATAGATTTCCTCAATACCATCCTTCCTAAGAATGTCTAGGGCAGTGTTTTTCAACCTTATTTGGGCAAAGGCACACTTGTTTCATGAAAAAAATCACGAGGCACACCACCATTAGAAAATGTTAAAAAATTTAACTCTGTGCCTATATTGACTATATATAAAGTAATTCTCTTGAATAGGAATCAAATAAACACAAAGGAAGTATTTTATAATTACTTTATTATGAAATATTAAGTAAACAAAATTGTGAAAAATTATAAAATTCTTGTCTTGTCTGCACCTACCGCACACCAGGCAACATCTCGCGGCACACTAGTGTGCCGCGGAACAGCGGTTGAAAAACGCTGGTCTAGGGTATGCAAGGCCCAGGGTATGTTAGAAATCATATGAAGTTTGTTCTCTGGCAACAGCAGAATTAAATAGAAATCAATGACAGAAAGATCCAGGAAATTGCTAAACGTTTTAAAATTTAAAATAACATGTTTCTAAATAATACCCTGGCCAAAAAAGAAATCACAAGAGGAATTATTGTAGAAACTATTTTGAATTAATTAACCTGTTAACCGGGGAGTTCCCTTTTTAATTACGCAACCTGTAACGGGCGCGTACTCTTTCACTAGGACGTGTCAGTATGTCATGCTTGGAGGACCTAATTTCATATGATTATTATTATTTTTTATTTATACTTAATTAAAATAAATGAAATATATATATATATATATTTTTGTTTGTTTGTTTGTTTGTTTATTTATATATATAAAGCACAAAGGAAAATACAAAATTACAAACAAATAGAAAAGAATACCAACAAAATAGTGGAAACATCGAATTAAAAAATTATAAACTTGCCAAAACCGGTTTGGCTCAGTGGATAGAGCGTCGGTCTATGGACTGAGGGGTCCCAGGTTCGGTTCCGGTCAAGGGCATGTACCTTGGTGCGGGTACATCCCTGATGGGGGATGTGCAGGAGGCAGCTGGTCAATATTTCTAACTATCCCTCTCTCTTCCTCTCTGTAAAAAATCAACAATATTAAAAAAAAATTATAAATTTTACAAACAATTATAAAGATTACAAAAAATATATACCGTCCCTCTCAGGGCGCAGCATATATTTCCAGGATGTATTCATACATCCTACCCGTTCCCGGTATTGTTTACGTTTGATGTATTTATAGGTCCTGCTCGGTTAACAAGTTAAAATGAAAACCCAATATACCAAAACGTATAGTATAGGATGCAACAAAAGCAGTGCTTACAGAAAACAATTATGGATTTAAATAGCTATATTAGCTAGGAGGAAAGGTCTCAAATCAGTAACCTAACCTTTTACCATAAGAAACTAGGAAAAAAGTGCAGTGAAATAAAATACAAGCAGCATAAAGGATATAATAAAGATTAGAACAGAAATCAGGGAGAACCAAGATAGCGGCATAGATAAACATGGCTACTCATTGCCTCCCACAACCACATCAAAACTACAACTGAAATACAGAATCACCGTCATTCCCAACCACCTGAAATGCTGCTGAATGGAAGTCCTACAACTATAGAATTAAAGAAGAAAGTGCATTGAGACTAGTAGAAGGGGGTAGAGATGTGGAACAGGCTGGTCTGACACACAAATGGCATTTTTTTTTTTTTTTTAAATCAGGAAGGATATCTTCACTGTTGAGGCCTGCTATGAGAAGCAAAGGGTTCTGGCCCCACTCCAGCCCCCAAGTCCAGGGTTTCATAGTTGGGAAGAGAATCCCTGTAACTCTGGAGTGTTAAAACCAG